CCCTATCTGATTTTAAGAAACTTCTTATCAGGATACAGTCATGGCGCGGAACAATCGCGGCCGCCAACTGGCTCTGCGGCCAACGTGTATGAGTGTGAAAGAAGCCAGTGCGGTGCGCGCGTCGACGCGACACAACAGATGGCCAACGCGTGTGGGGGTGAAGCAAACACTAGCGTCACAGCTGCAGACAAGGTCAACGGGGAGGCCGAAAGCGGAGACACAAGCGACAGTGAGATCCGAGCCACACGCACACACAGTGGCTCAACCGGAATGGGCATAATACGCACACGAAAAAGGAGCTTCATAAAACAGGGACCATCAGGCAGATTATGCAGTCGCTGAAGATTGGTAGACGAAAGAACTACCTGGAACCTCAGACACACCATAAACCTCTTCCTTCTTATGAAGGCTGAAATCACACGCATTAAGTCGGCTCCCAATATTTACATCAAATTTCGACGTTTGCCTATAGACCTTAAATATACTGATCTAATCCAAGTTCAACGCTTAATTCCTAAGGCAATTAAAAAGCCGAAACCACTATCCGATGTTGAACTCGCGTAGTTGATGGTGAAATAAGCTGCACGTGGTCTATGGTGACTTTGAGAAGGCACTTGCTAGTGTACTACGTCAGTGACTTGTACGTACTCCGCACGAGAGGGTTAAAGGTTAATTCCTGAAAAGGATTCAAAGCCTCCTATTTGGCCGCTATCAGATTTTCCACATAGGTGACCAGCAATCCACGGAGGATTCGGTTGATATTGGTTTTCCCTAAGGCTCCGTTCTTCGCCGGTATTATGTTTATTGTATACACCAACGACTGGGTCAGTGTACTTGACTGTGATGTCACCATGTTTTGAAGCGTCCTCCGAACTGCAGTTGACGAGAAGTGTTTGCAAGCAAACCTAAACGGCTCCGGCCATACTTTAATGATTGGCTTTGGTCGCTCAATGTGAACAAGTGCTTTTGCAAGTGCAATATTCTACGAGTTGGCGGAACGAGATCTCCGGACCGCATGGTCTACCATCTGAATGGCAAGAAGTGAACGATCATCAGAACTCGGATGCGTAGATCATGACTTCCTCTAACAGTTGTTACATTCCTCAAAAGTATCCAATTCCGCCTAATAAGTCTTCTGCTTCATCCAACAAACTTTCTATTCCTTCGGTGAAGACTGGGTTACGAAAAGACTATGGAGACCCTTGACCGCTGAAGATCTCAGCCGTGTCAACACGTTCATACGCGTGCAATGCTACTTGTAACTGGGCAGGACGTACTTCTTTATAGAACACGAATATCTAATCTCAGTCTATTGCCTTGGAGTTACAGACAGACATGCAGCGACCTGATACAAAACTTCCGTATTGTGAGCGATCGGAATTTTTGTCTTCTTCCTGGACACTTTTTCGAATTATCAACTGCAAATAAACGACGGGATCATACAGTCAAACTACTTTTGGAAGTTCTTTTTCTTCGGCATAGTGATCGAAACTTAGAATGCCCTGCCTGAAAACGTCGTCATGTTCGTATTCGTAGAGGTTTTGAACAGGCATGTGGATCACTATAGCAATGCGCATCATAAAGCCCTCCGACCCGGCGCTTGGTTATGTTATAAAACACATCTACTGTAATATGCCAGTAACATTAGTCTTATGGGATTGTATCACTGTCTCAGTCTCCGCACACACCTAATGACATCCGAATTGGCGCTCTCAGACAATTGAGATCTTCCTAATTTGTCTGTATAACTGCTCGAATAACTGCTACACAACGCCCTCCAAATGTGTAAATATTTGTAGAACTGAGGTT